GATGTGTTCGTCCAGGTCTCTTCCATGGCACCAGTGTTTTGTCTTGGTGGGAGTGATGCTTTAACAGCCTGTCTGGTAGAGACGGCCTGCTGCTGGATGTTTTGGGAGGTTTTGAGTCTTTTTCARATTTCTTGCTCTTCGTGGGAGAATTTGTTGTGAGGTGAACTTTAAGTGCATCTAGATCTTCCTCAGACTGGAGTGCTGGTGTTGTCGAGCTCTGGAGGCAAGCCTGAAAGTTAAGAGGGTGGAACGGATCGTCCTTCTGGCAGYGAGATTTCCACAGCTGCTCATCTTCATCATCCTCAGATGAAGGAGGAAGGCTGCTCTCGTCATCAGTGTCTGACCTAGAAGGGGGTGCAGGAAGAAAGGCCTGTACTTTAGAGACTTTGGTGGAGGGGGTTTGAAGAGYTGTGTTGCCGACTGTGCAGGCGGTAAAGCACATGGGATTGTAGGGYTCTGCAGGACTGCTGAAGAACTCCCAAAGCCTCTCACTCTCCTCTTTGTCCACATCAGGGCTCGAATCATCTGAACTGGCCCAACTGCTCTCGCTGTCAGAGCGACTGASCCAAAAKTTCAGTCCTGACATGATGTCAGTATCGCTACTGTCCCTCGCTTGGTTTTTAATTTTGCCCATGCCTGTGTTTGTTGAAATGCACGCAGAGAAAAAGAAGGGGTTGTAAGGATCACTCGATTTTGACAGGGACTCCCAAAGRGCCTTACTTTCCTCACTGTCAAATTCTACTACGCTCTGGTCTTCCTCACTACTGCAGTCAAAACTCCTGTCCTCTTCTGACGTGTCCTGTTTRACAACTTTTGTTTTTGAAAGATCCTCTCTGAAGAATTTCTCACGTCTTTTATGACAGGCCTCGTTTGAACCGGAGCTGTCGCTGCTTGACACAAAGACGTTCCAGTCTCTAGCAAAGCCGAGAAAGATGCCCTCTTCTTTCCCGGCCGTTCTGGACACAAAGTCATCCACGAGTCCGCAGCACAGGTCGTCGGCGCACAGACTGGACAGCAGGGCCTCAGCAGTGGAATTTCCTGCAAAGGGGTCGCCAACATCAGAGCAGAACTCAGAGAGGGGATTCGAGCCGCCGACCATGACMCCGTTGTCTCCGTCAAACAATGAGGAGAACAGGAAGGAATCTGTTGGATTCGCTGTCGTGCTCATGTGCTGGATGTGCTGACCGGTCTCATCTGTGATTCTCACGTGGACCTCGAACCTGAACATTTGAAAAACTGGAAAAACAAGAAGAAAGTGTTAGAATGGTTTGGAATTCAACAGAGAATAAATAAGTCACTCCCTGTGACACTCTTTTATAGAATAAAATCCTATGTTTTGTTTGAAACAATATCTACAGTAGGCAGACATCTAAACATGTTCCAATTAGTTAATTTTGGTCCACAACATGATGTGAGCTTAAGCAATGGATTAATACGTCCACCCTATATACACAGAATTAATTTCACTGGCTGAAGCTTAGGTTAGTGAGTAAAGAAAGAAACAAAGACAAAACAACAAACTAACAAAAAACTACAATAATTGAATTAATTAATTAGTATTAGACTCAACTAAAAACATAAATCTTTGTGTGTATTACTTATAAAACAAAGCGGGCATTAATTAGATCACAATAACCTGACTGATGTGTGTTTTATGTGTCTCCATATATTTCCACACAAAAGGTAATGTGGGGAACAATGAGGAAACAATACAGTACAGGTAATAATGAATTTAATTGAAGATATCTTATGTTTTGTTATATATTAAAAGGTTTTGTTATAAGATTACTCATATGTGGTTTCCAACTGAATTTATACGTGTGCACAATCTGCTCATATGATCAGGTATGGATGTATTTTCTCATTTATCCTTCTTCACTATGTGTACTGCAACTACAGTATCCATCACTCATCCTCTCCTTCCACCTGTCAATTGATTTGATTTATGTTCATCACACTCAACAACATTTTATCCAGGTATGTGTGCTCGACAGAAAATAACCAGGAATAGTGACGGTGCAGTTAAATAAACAGACAAGTAGATAAATAAATATTAGTTAGAATAGTAAAAAAGTACATACACGTGCAATTTAAAACGTTATATATAACAGGAATATAATGGAGAGAAAAGGGGGGAAACTCTTTGTTACTGTTGACAGTTTTGCAACTTTTTTAGTGTCTATGAGCTGTAAAGACTTGATATATATGGAAATTGTGTGAAATTTGGGGTTTTATCTACCATTTTTGAATTTATTGATGTGAAGTATAATTAGATTTATGATTTAAAGTTATAATTCTAATTTACAAAGAGTATAATTCTCCAGTCGAACAACCAAATTAATGGATACGATGGTAGAATGAGTGAGTCAAAGATTGTGGTTTATCGTTTCAAACTACTTTTGTTTTCACTATCTGAAAATGTAGAGATGTAGATTATCACATCATCATCATACAGATTACCAAAACTCACTATTGGGTCAACTGGACATTGACTTGGTACAAATAGACAAGTGGTCACTAAGGACACATACTAAGTGTATCTTTTATATGAGCTAATATATTTTATTGTGAATTACAGTATGTCGTTATTGATACCAGGGAAAAAGGAGAGACTTTCTAGTGACTGTGAACGCATCACAACGGTTGGACTTGACTTTACCAGTTTGATATGAACATGTTAAACTTAACATGTTCATATCAAACATGGTAAACTTGACATATTCATCTTCACACGTTAAACTTCACATATTAAACCTGACATGTTAAACTTGACATGTGAATCTTCACATATTAAACCAAACAATATTAAACCTGACATGTTGAACCTGACATATGAATGTTCACATGTTGAACTTGACATGTTAATCTTCACATGTTGAACTTGACATGTTAATCTTCACATATTATGTCACATTTGAATGTTCCCATGCTAAAGTCAACAGTATTAGTAGTTGGTGCAGTTTGCTCTCACCGGACATGAAGCTGCAGTAGATGACCTGCAGCAGCAGCCGAAGCTGTTCCCACATCACGGTGAGCATCTGTCTGGTCCAAGGCAGCAGCGCCATCCCTCCGCTACCGAATCTCTCCATGGCCGCTGGTTGATCCACACCGACAGTCGGAGACATTTTCACTTCTTCTCTCTCCTCCTCCTCTTCRTCCTCTCGGCCTGTGGCGGTTAAACGCTCACGTATTCTGGTATTCCTCGTCAAAAACTAGTCGCTGTAGTGAACTTGTCGGTGACAGAGAGACGTCGAGCAGCTGTCGCTTCATTTTCCGGTGAGTCCGAGACATGTTGTCGCTTAGCTTCGTCAGACGCGGTCCTGTGTTGTCTCCATGTTTGTCAGTGTTGTGTTGTCGTCGGTGTAGAAGCTGTGAATGTCTCGATGCTGCAACTTCCTCTTAACATAGACCAACCTGACGTCATGATGGGCTGTGATTGGTCGCAGCGGCTGTCACTCAGCAAAGGCACCGCCCTCAGATTACATTACGTATGACGCATGGAAACTGCCCGTAACTTCCCGACTTTTCATTTCTGTCGTTTCTAGACATATTTGTTCGTTTTCCTTTTTCTAAATGTAAGTTGCTAAAATGGCAGAATGGTAAAATGCTCGATCCCCAGAAAGACTTAATAACATGAAATAATTCAAAAAAGTTTTTAATTTCTAACGATATTCTTATGAATCAATGCTAGTTTCAAAATAGCACAAAAACTGCACTTAAACCTTAAGTTCAAAATGAATATCAATAGAAGTGCTTTTCTTGATTTTGTCAATAATCTTTGCATCAACATAAAAAATGTTGCAGTGGAACAGCTGATATCAATGAGACCCAGCTACACTATTTAATTCATCCTGTGTCAAACTGGTTTATGAATATATTTTTTCAGATTTATCTTAAGAGTAATGAAGAGTAACATTTTATCAAATCTTGTCAACAACTTGGGTAAAGTAGTTAGTTACATTAAACTACTTAAGCCTAACCCAATGGTTTACACTTTTGTTAACAGAAGATCTGGTTTAAGATTCAGTAATATAAAAAAGACAGAACAATTTCCAATTTACATTGTTTTATTAATCCAAAAAGTGTGTCTTTATGCCACCAGAGCAGAGGCTGTAGAGGACTCACTGTGAACAGAAAGAAACACCATTAGAGAGAGCACTTTTTAAATGATCACCAGGAAGTTAAACATTGCAAGATTTTTTTATAGAGCCGTTGTGATTGAAAGCAGTCATGAAGAGGAATCTCAAAATGTTTATACATTTGTGTATTATACCAACTATATTTTTTATTCATTTTGTGTATGAATACCCTCAACTCATGACATTGAAAACAAAAATGTAGGCCTGGATTACACTGAGAAAGAAGTACTAATGCTACCAATACAGATCTATATGTCTGGTATAAAATGCTATTTGACTAGGCATCAGTCTAATGACTTAATTGTTAGATAACACTTGCACATTTGACTGTGTGAAGGGGACTGGCAAAGGTGGCACCATGTAGCCACTTTGCTAATTTACCTCCAACTTTATTCTAGCACAATAGAAATATCGCTGCACTTTATAAAGGGAAGAGCAGGACAATGAGTTGTGCTTCATTTCATGACCAGAGATGTGAGTATCAGCTAAATATATCTAGAAAAGGTTCCCAATGCAGAACCAATACATACTACTTCCAGTTGGGGGCCAGTACTCTCTTGGTCTTGTAGTAACGGGCCAGCCTGTGGATCCTGCTTTCGATGAGAATCAGGCGGAACTTGGCATCCTTGTCCTGTGAGGAGGGCAAACAATGTTATGGGACATTTTAATTACTTAATATATGAATCCATTCATGCCCAATAACTGTCTATGTCAGGGACTCATTCCTATATAATCAGTTTCTCTTTGAGCAGCTTAATTTAGATTAAAAAAGCAAAAAAAAAAAAGCATGGAAACTTGGTTTTGATAAGCTCATAACAATTGCTTCCTCTATGGTGTAAAAAACATTTGAAGGCACATGCAAGTTTAGCTTGTCACCAATCCAGAGTATGTGAGTGGAAACAAACCCTAAAAAACAAAACTTAGTGGTAAGGTGTGTTCATGGTTTCTGCATGCTCTCTGATGGACACATCCATGCTACAACTGAATTATGAGTACACGCATTCACACTAGAAAACATGAAAACCTCTCGATAGTAGAAGGGAAGAATTCTGGTGAACAATTAATTATCACAACCAGAAACCATTTAATTAATATAGGAGTTTGATTATGATGGGAATCAACAGTAAATAAATAAGATGTGGGGCTGCAGACTTCAGCTGATCATGACAGTTACACCATGGATACCCTTTGGGACATGAAGATGCAGAAACCAGGAACTGACATTAACATTAAAACACCTGGCTTTCCAAACCATCAGATTGCAGGCAGCTGTATCAGGTGCCAAGTGAAGACTATTCAGACTCATGTGACCACAGTTAAAGCCTGATCTGGTTATACCTTTCTGTTTCTCTCCAGATGCTTCCTGACAGCCACAGCCTTCTTGATGAGGTGGTAAAGATCCTCAGGCAGATCAGGGGCCAGACCCTTGGACTTCAGGATCCTCAAGATCTTGTTGCCAGTGACAAAACGTACTTGGGCCACACCATGAGAGTCCCTCAGAATCACACCTAGACAAAACAACAAAACAGGCTTAATACTTGGCTGTGTTTATTTCTCAACAGTTGGCTATATTTGCTGTTAGCCCCTTCATCCCAGATTATTCAGCAAAACATTAAACAAATACAGGAGACACTAATTAAACTTGGAACACCTACTTGTTCCCTTTTAGAGGCTGCAGTCTGTTATGCATTCAGTTCAAAAGCATCTTGTTTTATTATTTTGTCTATCCCACTTAAATCAACATTGGCTAAATAGAAAAAACTACAAGACTATCTCCAAATTACCCAAGTTACATTAATATCTAGAAAAAATGTTAATTGACTAAGAAAGGATGATTCAGTGTAAGAGTTAGGGTTACCACTTGACCACTGAAAGCATTTAATTTACATTTGACTGGGCCTGCTGATGTCTGTCATCCTACACGACAACTAACATTTATTGGGCGACCAACAAAATGTGGTCATCTTGCATAACACGACATTGGTGAATTTCTCTGTCTCATAGAAGCGCTTACCAATCTGAGAAGGGGTCAGACCCTTCTTGGCCAGCTTGAAGATCTGCTCTTTGACATCATCAGATGTGAGTTTCAGCCACTGCAAGTAATGTTAGGATGGTTACATTAGGTTCACGGTTCTCTTTGTGCCAGTGATAGACATTAAACCACATCTGATGTGCGTGTACTCACGGTGGGAACACTGCGCCTGTAAGGCAGAGCGGACTGGGACAAGCCCTTTCTGTGGAGAATACGGACTAGTTAGACAGTGTGACATTTTGACGGAGAACAACCAAGAGAATCAATCACATCTAACACTAAAGAAGTAATAGCTCCAGGAGCCGGACAGGAACGAGGCCCGGCTAATGTCTGCTTCATACTCGTGCTGCTGAACGTGCAACTGAACGCGTCTTTAAAATGGCTTCTCTTCTTCAGACAAAGCAGAAAGTGATTTATTAAATACTAAGTGTGGACAATATCACTGACTTCACACTAGAAACTCAACACAAGCGGTAAAATTGAGGTGAGCCTTCAGCGCTGTTAGCTAATGCTAGCTAACTTGCTAACGCCAGCTAACTTGCTAGCTGGAGGTGGTTGTCGATGGCGAGGCTGCGAGTATTTAAGTCTTTTTCTCGTTTCTAGGGCGAATTAAAGATTCCGGTTTGTTCCCCGGCGACAGAGAACATGTTCACACAAAACATCTCGTGATAAAATCTGAGCTTGCTGGGCTAAATATCCACTTTAAACGACAGAAAGGGAGCTCACCCGGGAGCGTGCATGCGACCCATGATGGCGGTAGAGGAAGAGAGGCCGCACACGCGACAGAAGACGGTATTTTGCGCCTGCGTCGGAAATGACGCAATGACGCAGAAAGGTGCGTCATAAACACTGTTCAACGTTTTCAAGTAAAGTTGTTGTGAAAGTTTTAAACGTTGATTTACAGCGTGGAAAACCGAAGGGATTTAACAATACTACTTCTCACTTAAAGTCTAAAAGGTCATTTCCTGCAAGATAGATTTGTAACAGACGAAATCAATTTGAAGTGGCGCCCAATATTTCTTTTGATTATAATTATTAGATAATTTAAAACAAAGCCAACACAAAGGACTATATATACGTAATTACACCTCTTCATTTTCTTCCTAAATGTATATTTAATTTAATATGATATAATAATCAATCCACTCACCTTTAAAGATAAAATGAAAACATGCTTTTAGAATAGTTTGTCAATTAAATAGAAATAAACAAATGAAATTTGATTTACAAAATTATCCAGATTCTCCAGATTGCGGTCAGGAACATGCTGTTTTTATTTTATTTTCCTGAGGAAGTGGCTTGAACTGGATGGAGTTCTCCTGTGGCAACACAGAATTCTCCTTGTAGTTTAGAAAGGCCCACATCTGTGAATAATGTCCCACAATACATCCTGCCTGTCAGGAAAAAAAAACATGACTCCAAGAAACCTTCTGCATACCTGCTGTGGTGAGGCATCTCTAAAGCTTCCAGTGTTCTCAGAGGCTTCAAAATAAGAAGTTTATAGATGAAGTTTGGAACCACCAGCATTTCCTGCAGTTGGCCGTCCAGTCAAATTGAGTAAGAATGTCCTTGGTCAAGGAAAAAATCCATCAACCATCTCAGACGCTCTTCATCAATCTAAACTCTATGGCAGAGGTGACAGGTGTCACTTTGAGTAAAGAAGCTTGTGAAAATCCACTTTGAGTTTGTCAAATGTTATTAAAGGATGGTGACATAAGGATAACATTCAATCTACTCTGCAGACATAACTCCCATGAATATATCTTGGTGAAGCATTAAACCAAGGGGGACTTTCTCAGCTGCAGGGACTGGGAGCGTGGTCGTAACTGAGGGAGAACTGAAAGCAACAAAATACAGAGGAAAACCGGCTCCAGACTGCACCTGACCTGAGACTGGAATGAAAACTGTCCAAATCCAGGTAGGCAGAGCTTATAGAGACAAACAGGAAGTCTTAAAAAAAGACTGTAACTGCTGCTTAAAGTGTCTACTTCAAACTACTAAATCAAGGGTATAATCTTTTTTTTTTTTTGTGGACTGACGAGTACAAATTGCCATATTATTTATTTACAATTACAAAATTGTGAAGTGAAGAGGATTGAATATGTACGGGCTGGTCTGTCATCAGCCTCTGCATTGTTTTGGTTGTGGCACAACATACAGTAATTTAAAATACATCAAAATTAAGAGGAAGTCATATCATTGTTTAGCCCAGTCTAACATCTGGCC